TTGAAGCAGGAGGCCTCCTTTTATTAATGTTTTCAGTACAAAAGAGGACACAGAAAGGGCATTTCCTTCCTTCCTCTGAATACTGTGAAGAACTCCCCCAGGTGAGATGTGTGCATTTGTGAAAACTCAAAATTCCTATGCACCAGGGGCCAGCACTGTGGCTTAGTGGGTAAAGCTGCCTCCTGCAGTGTCAGCATCCCATATGGGTGACAGTTCGAATCCCGGCTGCTCCATTTCCGACCCAGCTCTCTGCTGTGGCCTGGGAAAGCAGTAGAGGATGGCCCAAGTCCTTGGGCCCCTGCACCTCACGTGGGAGACCCTGGAGAAGCTCCTGGTTCCTGGTTTTCAATTGGCCCAGCTCTGGCTATTGCGGCCAACTGGGGAGTGAACCAGCTGAGGGAAGACCTCTCCATCTGCTTCTGCCTCTCTGTTAACTCTGCCTTTCAAATAAATAAATAAGTCTTTAAAATTTTTATGCACTAATTATTCAAAAGTAACTGAGAAATGCCATAAGATTTCTTCTAAGGCCTTAAGGGACACCCATATTCATTCCAAAAGGGAGAAAAAAACCTTAAAATTTCAGGTGGATAATTAAAACATTTATAGCACAGACATTAGGTTTTCTGTTTCTTGCCACTAACAATCTTGGTTTAAAACCTGGTTATATAATTTACAAGTTACAAGAACTCAGTCAAGGAGCTGGCATTGTGGTGTAGCGGGTAAAGCCGCTGCCTGCAGTGCCAGCATCCCATGTGTGTGCCAGTTCGAGACCCAGCTGCTCCACTTCCAATCCAGCTCTCTGTATGGCCTGGGAAAGCAGTAGGAGAGGGCCCAAGACCTTGGGCCCCTGTACCCACATGGGAGACCCAGAGGGAGTTCCTGGCTCCTGGCTTCGGTCTGGCCCAGTCCTGGCTATTGTGACCATTTGGGGAATGAACCAGTGGATGGAAAAAATCAACCTACCTCTGTTTCTCTCACTCTCCTTGTCTTTCAAATAAATAAATAAATGAATCTTTAAGAACTTGGGCAAATCCGTTCACTTCTCTGTCTCAGTCTCTTCTTCAGTGAACTTGGGGTTGCCTTATTCTCTTCCCTCCCGCTGTGCCAGAATCCCACACACTGAGTCATCGATAAAAGAAGGAAATTGCTGTCTCACAGATCTGCAGGTGGAGAAGTCCAGACTGAAGGGCCGAATGTGCTGAGCCTTCCTGCTGTGCCCTGACATGGGCAGCGGCTGTCGCACGTGGGAGAATGAGAGAACGAGAGGTTAAGACAGAGGTTGCTGGGGCTAGCGATGTGGTGTAGCAGGTAAAGCCACCGTCTGCAGCGCTGGCATCCCATATGGGCACTGGTTCAAGCCCTGGCTGCTCCACTTTCAGTCCAGCTCTCTGCTGTGGTCTGGGAAAGCAGAAGATGGCCCAAGTCCTTGAGCCCCTGCACCCATGTGGGAGACCTGGAAAAAGCTCCTGGCTCTGGCCATTGCGGCCAATTGCAGAGTGAACCAGTGGATGGAACACCTCCCTCTCTCTCTCTGCCTCTCCTTCTCTTTAGATAATCTTTAAGATTATTTAAGAGGAGAGACTTATGTGAGAGAGCTTTGTCATAAAAGCCACTCCCATTGGACACAAGTCCATTCATGATGGATTAGTCCTCAGGACCTGCTCACCCTTCAGGGACGGCCCAGCCTTGCAATAGTGTTACCATGGCAACGAACTTCCCATGTAACTTTTGGAGAGAGGATTCAAACCACAGGCTGATGATGATACTTACCTTGAGGGCTAGAATAAACAGTAATGCATCTAAAATGTTTAGTACAAAACCTGGTGCATACAAGGAACAGCTGGCATCACGCATGTCACATGCTTTCACGCCGAAACATAGAGCAACAACCAAAGTCCGCACGTGACAAGGCAGAGAACAATTCGTTTGTTTTTTTAGGAGTTTCAGTTTTGCACGATGAAAACGTTCTAGAGATCTGCTCATAAGGACGTAGTCACAACGCAACTGAACTGCACAGAGAAACGTGGTTGGGGCTAGGCCTGTGGCCTACTGGCTAAGATGTCAGTGTCCCTCGCTGGAGTGCCCGGCTCCGCTCCTGGCTCCGCTCCTGGCTCTAGCTTCCTGCTAATGCAGACTGTGGAAGGCAGTGATGATGGCTCAAGTGACTGGGTGCTGCCTTGCAGGTGGGAGTTCCTGCTTCTCAAGCTGGGGCCATGGCAGGCAACCAGTGGATGGGAGCTGTCTGCCTCTCTGCCTCTCAAATCAACTTAAACATTTTTAAATGGTTAATATGTAACATTTTAAAAAAGATTTATTTATTTATTTGAAAGGCAGAGTAAGAGAGAGAGAGAGAGAGAGACAAGGGGGCGGCCAGGCTGAAGCTAGGAACCAGGAGCCAGGAGTCTCTTCTGGGTCTCCCACGTGGGTGCAGGAGCCCAAGGACTTGGGCCATCTTCTGCTGCTTCCCCAGGTGCATTACCAGGGAGCAGGATGGGAAGTGGAGCAGCCAGTACTTGAACCGGCGCCCATATGGAATGTTGGCATTGCAGGCAGCAGCTTAACCCATCAAATCACAACACAAGCCCCTGGATGTAAATTTTTTTAATGTTGATTTTCTTCTACTTGAAAGACAGAGTGAGAGTGACACACACACACACACACACACAGAGAGAGAGAGAGAGAGAGAGAGAGAGAGAGAGAGATCCTTCATCTGCTGGTTCATTTCCAAAATGCCTCCAACAGCCAGGACTGGGCCAGGCTGAAGCCAAGAGCTAGAACTTCCTCCCAGCCTCCCATGTGGGTGGCAGGGGCCCAAACAGCTAAGCCACCAGCTGCGGCCTCCCAGCACGTTAGCAGGAAGCTGGATTGGAAGGGGAGGAGCTGGGAGTGACATGGGATGTGGGTTCCCACGGGATAGCTCAACCCCCTGCAGTGTACCACAGTGCCCACCTTGCGATGATGTGAACTCCATGCTGCTTTTAAATAAAAATAAAAAACGAAATGCTGCAATTTGCAAATGCAATGCTGGGTCTGTGATGATTAAGGATGGAACAGTTCAAGTGTGATAGGAACACTGACTTATCCCACAGCCATTTCACTGCATCAACTATTCTCTTTTTAAAGATTTATTGTTATTTATTTGAAAGGCAGAGTTGGGGGGGAGGGGGAGGGGAAAGGGAGGGGAGGGGAAGGAAGGGGAGGGAGGGAAGGAGGGAGAGAGGGAGAGAAGGAGAGAGGGAGAGAATATTTTCCAGCTGCTAGTTCACTCCCCAGATGGCTGCAATGGCTGGGGCTGTGCCAGGCCAAAGCCAGGAGCCAGGAGCTTCCTCCAGGTCTCCCACATGGGTGCAGGGCCCAAGCACTTGGGTCATCTTCCACTGCTTTCCCAGGAGCACTATCAGGGAGCTGGATCGGAAGTGGAGCAGCCGGGATTTGAACCTACATCCAAATGGGATGCCGGTGTTGCAGGTGGCAGCTTAACCTATTATGCCACAATGCCAGCCCCGATAACCCAGTCTCTTAACAATTGCCATCACCTCCCTTGGGGAGGTGAGGACATTTGTAGGCCTGATTCAAGTCCCTGTTGTAACAGCAGATGGCAACAAGGGTGATGATGAGACAGAGGAGGTATATCCACCTATGCTGTAAGCCTTAAGGGGGGAGGATTTGAATAACAAGGGTCTGAGCTCTGTGCTAAATTTAGAAAAACAAAGATCAGTGATGAAGTTCATGGAATGGACATTAGGGACAAAATGAGCAGAAATTGAGAGAGGAAGCAGAGATCAAGATTTCACAATTCCCGTTGTTAGCCCTCAACACAACTGCTTCCCGCCCACGTGGGAGACGCGGACAGAGCTCCTGGTTCCCAGCTTTGGCCTGGCTTACCCTTGACTGTCATGGGCATTTGGGGAGTGAACCAGTGAAAAGGAGATCTCTGTCTTTCTGCTTTTCAAATAAATATTAACTTTTTTTTTAAAAAAAGATTTTATTTATTTATTTAAGAGGCAGTTACAGACAGAGAGAGGGAGAGACAAGTCTTCCATCCGCTGGTTCACTCCCCAGATGGCCACGACAGCCAGGGCTGAGCTGACCTGAAGCCAGGAGCCAGGAGCTTCTTCTGGGTCTCCCACGCGGGTGCAGGGGCCCAAGCACTTGTGCCATCTTCCACTGCTCTCCCAGGCCACAGCAGAGAGCTGGATTGGAAGAGGAGCAACCAGGACACGAACTGGTGCCCAAATGGGATGCTAGCATTGCAGGTGGCAGCTTTACCCACTACTCCACAGCACCAGCCCCCAAACATTAACTTTTAAAAATGAGAAAATCTATTCTACAATGCGTCAGTGAGAGGTGAGCTCTGGGCTGCTCACCTCTGTATTCCACGTCGGTGTGGAAAGCACATGGATTACCTTTAAACTGGGGCTAGGCACCACTGGAGACCTGCGTGTGGCGACTGCCGTGCTGTAGCGCGGGGTTCCTAAGCTGGGCATTACGGACACTTGGGGCTGGCCTGTGTACCACAGGCTGTCAGGCATCCGTGGCCTGCGCCCACTGCACTCACCCGAGTCGTGACAATCAAGGTCTCCGTATGTTGCCAATGTCCTGGAGCTGGCAAATTCACCCCCAGGGGAGAGCGGTGCTTCAGAAAGCTAGAGACAAAAAAGCCAGTGTCTTGCTTTAGTGCAGCAATGCAACTCTGATTCTAAATCTCTCCTCTGACCTAAGCTTGGACAGTTACACATACTGTAAATTTGGCTTCAGACTAAAACTACCAAAGCCAATCATCAAACCATATCTTTTTGTATAACAGATTTAGACTCTCTTATTAAGAGGGGGAATCCTGTCCTTTATGTGTTTGCTATTTTTTTTTTTAAGCAAAGGTCAATTATTTAATTTTTTAACTTTATAAAACAGTTAACATTACATTGAAACAGCAATCTGGTTTAAGATAACAAATTTAAATACTGACATTTCATTAAAATATGTCATTTCCAAAAAGAAAACAAATCTAGAGAAGATGCCATTTTGTTATCTATGTCTTCACTAATGAAATAGACTGCAAAGAGAAAAGCAATGTTTCAGTTTGTTTTCACAGAAATAAAACATATTAAAATATATATTGCAAAAAATAAAAAGGAAAAACAATGCCTTTGTTGTTACAATTCGCTATACAGTAAGATAAACTTTCAGAAACTATAATTTTCTTCTTCAAGGCAAATACACATAAGGTTCTGTTGTCTTATTAAGTCACCAAGGAACAAAGCCTATTATAAAGATGGCATAAAATCCAGGCATTACTTTCTAGCTGACCCTCAAACACCAAGGACTACAAACAAAATTTAAAAGTATAATCTGTTACCTTCATATAAGTATAAATTAGTCTTATCTAAGCTTTCATTATTTGGCAGTGTTTATAATATATCTTTTAAGTATATTTTTCTAGGTCTTTTGGTTAAAATTAAGACTAAGAAATGTTTTATTAGCAAATACCAATATTTTATAACACTATGCAGATTATCAAAGTGTTACATTTCCAAAAGTAATAATATCCCAAATTTAAAACAATTCTTTTTTTTTTTTAATTTATTTTTTACAGGCAGAGTGGACAGTGAATGAGAGACAGAGAGAAAGGTCTTCCTTTGCCGTTGGTTCACCCTCCAATGGCCACCGCGGCCAAAGCGCTGCAGCCTGCGCACCACACCGATCCGAAGCCAGGAGCCAGGTGCTTCTCCTGGTCTCCAATGTGGGTGCAGGGCCCAAGCACTTGGGCCATCCTCCACTGCACTCCCGGGCCACAGGAGAGAGCTGGATTGGAAGAGGGGCAACCAGGACAGAATCTGGCACCCCAACTGGGACTAGACCCAGTGTGCCAGCGCCGCAGGTGAAGGATTAGCCTATTGAGCCGCAGTGCCAGCCTGTTCTTTATTTTTTTGACAGGTAGAGTTATAGACAGTGAGAGAGAGAGAGACAGAGAGAAAGGTCTTTCTTCCATTGGTTCATCCCCCAAATGGCCGCTAAGGCCGGAACTGCGCAGATGCGAAGCCAGGAGCCAGGTGCTTCTCCTGGTCTCCCATGGGGTGCAGGGCCCAAGCACTTGGCCCATCCTCCACTGCCTTCCAGGACCACTGCAGAGAGCTGGACTGGAAGACGAGCAGCCGGGACTAGAACCGGCGCCCATAAGGGATGCCGGCACCGTAGGCAGAGTTAGATTAACCAAGTGAGCCAAGTCAGCCCTCCCCCCCAATTCTTTATTACTTTGCACCATATGCTAAAGTAAAAATAGATAGTAAAGGAAGACATTTAATAATAGGAACCCCAAAAACCCTAAAAGTTTCATTTAAAGTAGTCCAGTTCATTTCTTCAAAGCAAAAGAAGTCAGTATTTCTTTGACTTTCAAATTTTAGATATTCAGATTGCCATAGTGCCCTGCAAAAAATCATCATACACGAAATTCACAAATCCTTGTTGCAAGTGGTCTCTTCTCCTAAAGAAATCTGTCAAGGCACGAAGCTTCACACAACAAGAAACATAATCATCAAAGAAAATTCTGCCATTCTTACTGTAGCGTCTAACAATAGTATTTAACGTCTGAGGACTCAACCTATAACCCATAATAGCAATGGATTGACTCAACTCGTGATGCTCTACTGTGCCACTTCGGTCTCGATCAATAGTCATGAAGTTTTCCTTCCATGCAGTAAGAGCTGCCCAAAGCTCCTTGAATTCATTAAATCCCATTTTTCCTGTATAATCTCTATCCAACATGGCAATCATAATTCTGCATGTTTCCAAACTGAAGGGAGAATAAGCTCCACTAATTCCAGACTCTGTCAAACATCTCTGAAGTTCTTCAGCATCCACTTCACCATCCCCTCCTCCGTATCCTGGGTAGGCCATGACAAGCCGAGCAACCTTCAGCCCTCCTGTCTGCGTCCGCCCTCCTGAAAGAAAGGTACAGGTGCAGATACAGGTGCAGGCGCAGGTGACTCTATTTTTTTTTTTTTTTTTTACAGGCAGAGTGGACAGTGAGAGAGAGAGACAGAGAGAAAGGTCTTCCTTTGCCGTTGGTTCACCCTCCAATGGCCGCCGCGGCCAGCACGCTGTGGCCAGCACACCGCACTGATTCGATGGCAGGAGCCAGGTGCTTCTCCTGGTCTCCCATGGGGTGCAGGGCCCAAGCACTTGGGCCATCCTCCACTGCACTCCCTGGCCACAGCAGAGAGCTGGCCTGGAAGAGGGGCAACCGGGACAGAATCCGGCGCCCCGACCGGGACTAGAACCTGGTGTGCTGGCGCCGCTAGGCGGAGGATTAGCCTAGTGAGCCGCGGCGCCGGCCCTATGTGTTTGCTATTAACACTGGATAAATCCAGGGATACCAAGGCATCAGAGAGCACCCTGGTCAGAACAGCTTGCAGGGAGCAGGACAGCCCTTCTGTAGCACTTCCACGTCCAAGGGCACAAGAATGCACCTCTCCAGTCACCAGACCCACGCTACGTAGTTACAGCACACAGGCTCCAGGGCTATCGGATAAAAGCAGGTGCTCAAATATTTAATAAGTGAACAACGGAAACCAGAACTAGGTTAGCAGCAGAGCCTGACGTGTTAAAGAGTTAAAGAGCCTCACTTCTCAAGTTTTGATTATGTAAGCCAGTGTTTGAGGCGTTAACTCCACTCACACAATTAGAGCAATTCAAAATTTATTATTTATTAGAGAGAGAGCCATACATTCCCTCTGACAGGCTGAGAAGCCGGGAATTCCAGCTCGACTCCCACACGGCTGCCAGGGACACAAGCATTTGAGCCATGGCTTCTGCATCCGCGTGTGCATTAGCAGGAAGCTGACGCAGAGGCGGGTAGCTGGGCTTCAACGCCTGGTGCTCTGGTACAAGACCAGAGGTCAGAGCACCCTGTTCACCTGTGCCAGTCGCCTGCTCCCTAATCACCAGGTTCTTCTGTTCAAGGCTTTGGTCATCCAGTTACTTCATTCAGAACTCATTTCTTGGAATATCCACTACTCTTTCTTGGGTCATTCTCCCACCAGTATCTCATGTTCCAGCCAAACCAAGCTGGGTAATGATGGCCAACTGGGGAGACACAAAGTGATCGGTTTAGTTTGAGAATGCAAGTTTCAGGGGCAGGCGCTGTGGCATAGCAGGTAAAGTCTGGAGCTGGCATCCCATATGGGCACTGGTTCGAGTTCCGGCTGCTCCACTTCTGATATAGCTCCCTGCTATGGCCTGGGAAAGCAGTAGAAGGTGGCCCAAGTGCTTGGGCCCCTGCACCTGCATGGGAGACCTGTAGGAAGCGCCTGGCTCCTGGCTTTGGATCAGCCCAGCTCCAGCTGTTGCAGCCATCTAGGGACTGAACCAGTGGATGGAAAATCTTTCTCTAAATCTTCCTTTCAAATAATGAATCTTTAAAAAAAGAAAATACACATTTCAAGTACATGCATTTGGCCTTACGTGTAAGGCACTGTTAGGACGCCCACAATGGGGTTGGCACTGTGGTGAGGCAGGTTAAGCCACCACCTGCAATGCCAGCGTCCCATATGGGTGCCAGCTTGAGTCCCAGCTGCTCCACTTCCCATCCAGCTCCCTGTTACTGCACCCGAGGAAGCGGCAGCAGACGGCCCAAGTCCTTGGGCTCCAGCCAACCATTCAAGAAACCCAGAAGCAGTTCCAGGCTCCTGGCTGCGGCCTGGTTCAGTTCTGGCTATTGCAGCCATTTGGGGAGTGAACCAGAGGACTGAAGATCTCTCTCACTCCTTCAAATAATCTTTAAAAAGAAAAAAAAAAAAGGTGCACACACATCAGAATGCCAGGGTTTGGGTCCTGGTTCCACTTTCAATTCCAGCTTCCTCTAATGCACACCCTGGAAGGCAGCAAGTGATGGTTCATTGTTTCCTGCAATCCATGTGGGTGATCTGGACTGGGTTCCTGGCTTTCGGTTTCTTCTAGGGACTTGGGGAGTTAACCAACCAATAGTAATTCTGCTCCAGCTCTCTTCCATGGTAACATCTTAGGTGTATCCCTCCTCATTCACATCACTGTTAGTTTCTCTCACGCTCACCACTGGCCACACTACAGGATTCTGCTCCCTGAAGGCAGGTGTTGGGGTATCTCCTACACAGATGACTGCAGTTAAAGTTGAAATACTGAAGGTCTAGTACATATAAAGAAAAGAGATCCTGTTGTATTTCAGACCAGGAGTAGTTGAATCCCAGCCATTTAAGCAGCTAGTTTATTAGCAATTTCACATGAAAGCTATTTATAGTTGCCTAGTATGAAATAGCTGATTCGCTGAAGATGTAGTTCTAGCAATATTCAATGACTATCAACCACCCAGGACTACCCTGTATACATACGATGTTATACTGTGTTGCCACTGGAGATTGACTTCTAGAAGATTAAGGAAAAGATTAATATATCCAAAAGCATTAAATAACCCATGCAAGAACTGAAGTACTCAAAATGTTAGCTAATTAGAATCCTGTCACTCTTCTGGCTGATAACACTTAATGTTTCCTCACAATTTTTACTACTGAATCAAACTAATTACCTTAGTATTCCACACCATAGCACGACTACTTCAGGCGGTAATATTAGAAGTAATTTTTTCTTCAGTTTTTCATTATTTTCCCAAAATCCACAATAAACCTAACTTTTTACCTGATAGCTTTTATTTTTCACACTAGCTGAATTCCAGGCCTTTCTTTATACATAGCTGCAAAACAACAAAAAGAACTAAAACAAGCAGATGTGAAGATCAGACGCGAACCTGTCACATCGGAGCCAGTGTCAGGGTGCAGGCGGGTAAGCCGCCGCCTGCGATGTCGGCATCCCAAATCAGCAGCGGCTTGAGTCCTGGTGGCTCTGCGTCTGAGCCAGCTCTCGGCTAACCTGCCTGGGAAGCACGGGAAGACGGTTCACGTACTTGGGCCCATGCCACCCACGAGAGACGCAGATGCAGTTCTAGCTTCCTGGCTTTGGTCTGGCCAACCCCTGGCCATTGTGGCCATTTGGGAAGTGAACTAGTGGACAAAGAACTCTGTCTCTCCTTGTATAACTCTGCTTTTCAAATAAGTACACAAACCCTTTTTTTTTTTTTAAACCACTTCTCACATACTATGGAGCAATATTCTAGTTCTCCAATACTTAAGACGTTATTCTGAGTAAACAACTCTAAGACAGTCAGTCTTTCCTGATAATAAAATTCCATTCTTTTTACTGTTAAGTCATACTATAGGGGCTGGCGCTGTGGCGTACAGGTTAAGCCTCTGCCTGTGGCAACAGCATCCCATACAGGCACCAGCTGCCCACTTCCAATCCAGTCCCCTGCTGATGTGCTGGGAAAGCAGCAGAGGATGGCCCAAGTGCTTGGGCCCCTGCACCCACATGGGAGACACTGAAGAAGCTCCTGGCTCCTGGGTTCCAATCCATCCAGCTCTGGTCATTACAACCATTTAGGGAGTGAACCAGTGGATGGAAGACCTCTCTTTCTCTCTCTCTTCTCAAATAAATAAATCTTTCATATATATAAAAAAAGACATAGCCTAATGGTGCAGTCATTTTGATCTAAAGTGTGTTAGAATAAAACAGGAAAGCACACAGCAGATTAACTCCACGTTGGAAGCTGAGCCGTGTCTTACTTGGAAAATGCCCGAATTTTATTACAGATTTTGAAACTCAGAAGATACAGACATGCTTTGGTACCTGGAAGGACATGCTTTCAATTAGTTTTGAGCAATGCAGTGAATGATGACAATGCATTAGTTTGGGAGAGAAAAGTGAGAGGAAAAAATAGAAACAACAGTTTTGCAGTGTAATTCTTGAATGGCTGACACCGAAGTGCTTCTAGAATGAACAAGGTGAGGGATACTGCCCATGGTGAAATGAATAAGCAATAGCTTTATCATAGTCTTGTCAGCTGGAAATAGAGAACTTCAAACATCATCTGCAATGCTTACATAAGTTAGCTTTCACCTAGACACTTTATTTTATTTTATTTTTTTTATTTTTCACAGGCAGAGTGGACAGTGAGAGAGAGAGACAGAGAGAAAGGTCTTCCTTTTGCCGTTGGTTCACCCTCCAATGGCCGCCACGGCCGGCGCGTTGTGCTGATCCCAAGGCAGGAGCCAGGAGCCAGGTGCTTCTCCTGGTCTCCCATGGGGTGCAGGGCCCAAGCACTTGGGCCATCCTCCACTGCACTCCCTGGCCACAGCAGAGAGCTGGCCCGGAAGAGGGGCAACCGGGACAGAATCCGGCGCCCCGACCAGGACTAGAACCCGGTGTGCCGGTGCCGCAAGGTGGAGGATTAGCCCAGTGAGCCGCGGCGCCGGCCTTCACCTAGACACTTTAAACTGCACTTTTCTATTACGTCGTTCACCCACTTCTTGAGTGCCTGCTATTCAATGCCAGGTGCTTCATCCAGAGGTAGAATTATCATTCGGCTTAAGTCACTCTAGTGAACTGTCAACGGTAGTGAAAGCAGAACCTAAAGCAGAGGTTAAAATTAAACCATATTTTGATTTAAAATGAATGTAAAACACACCAGCGCTCATGGTGCGTAAGCAAGTGTTGAGTTTAAATGTTTATAATGTTTCGATGTTTAGAATGTCTTTTCTTCTTAAAGATAAGCTGTTACATGTACATATGTACACAGCATCTGTACACGCTGGACTGTGCGAATGTTTTCTCCCCAGACACACTGACAAAATTCACGGAACACCACTGCTACGAGGCCTTCTTCTAAAGTTACTACACAGGGAGACAGAAAAACAGCGGATACACATGGTTCACTTTTCAAGTAATGTTATGTACAGTTTTATTGCCAGTATATGCACAACAGTAAGCGTAGAACTATAAATACACAATGTAATTAACATTAGAAAATAAGACTGTCACAGGTAATGGGGAGAGGGCACAGAGAACTATTTGCTGCTGCTGCAACAGAAACCGGGCGGGGGGGGGGGGGCTAGGACAAGTCAGCCATTCAGTACTCTCGTCTTAAATTCTTTACATACATTTCTACAAGTTAGACAAAGAAAGTACAGATCATTCTGTAACGATAGCAAATTGCTTCCCTAATAGCTATTTGCCTTTCCAGTCAAATTCACTTTATGTTAGGATTACAGAAAATAAAATAAAAGTCAAGATGAGAAACCATTAGCATCCTGGTTCCAAATGATCTAATTTGGCCTTTTACCAAAACTGGTAATTTTTGAAGTTCTGCTGCACATGAAAAGAACAGGTGTAGCAGAAGGTGATTAAAAAATTTGTTAAAAATTAACAGAAAATCACCTTGAAGTAGTTTTCCAAAAGACACTATAGGCAGCAGTTCAGTTAGAAGTATCAGCCCTGAAGAGGTAGAGAATTTGAGCGCATTATCTGAAGACAGCCTTGGCACCATCTTCTCTCTCATCAGGATCAACGTTTTCAAGTAAGACAATTTCACGGTCAAAGGAAACCAGGTTCCACCACTGAACAAAAAGGTGCTGGTCGACTCCCATGTCTCAACAATTAGTCTAGTACATGAGAAACAGAACACGGTCAAGGACACACACGCATTGATTTTTTTCTTGTCTGTTTCCATTATCAAGTTTATTCATAAGTGAATTTGATATTAATAAATACAAAAAAAGCATCATTCACAACAAAGATACAAACCAAAAACCCTGCAATGAAACCTTCTATTCTCGTAAGTATCAAGAAAACAACAGGGGGATGATTTGGTGCAGCTTTCTTAAGGGATCATAGAAGGGACATGGTTTTAAATAAAGATGGCAAGATCAATAACAAACAAACAGTATCAGTTTTACAGAACTGGATGATTCTGTAACATTTCTCTCTGAGGTCTTAGTTTTCAAACTACAGATCACCCCGAAGAAGTGGCAACTAATGACATGTATCACCATCACACCGACAGAGGCCAGCTGAAGTTCAACTTAGTCCTGCATTGTTTCACATCATTTAAGTATTTCTAGCATAGGACATGATACAGAACAAAACTCAAAGTAGCAATAAAAATATTATTCTGCAGTGGAATAAAAGCAAAAAATGTTTTAGACTGTTAACTTTTAAAGCTTTAAGCATTCCTGTTTAACCAGCATTTAAAAAAAATTTATACAATCATAACACTGGCAAAGGTTAATGGGAAGACAAAGAAGTACAAACATGTGAAATGATGAATTAGGTTAAAAATTACTGTGTACTGATCAACTGATGTTAATACTGCTTCTTCATGAATCTGGAATAACTATCGTAAAAGTTACATGCAGACTGAGGATAGTCCTCTGTTACAGAAAGTACAAAACGAAACAAAACGAAAAACTAAAACTAGGAAACAATGGTTAAGCTCCAAAAGATGTGTTTGAGAATTCCCTTTCACTGGCGAGGGCAGTCTGTCCTTTTCGGGAGAGACCTGGTCACGTGATGCGCGTCACTAACTCTGTCCGGGAACGTCAGCAGTGGGGTCAGCTCCTCCAGAGCCCGTCTGTGCACGCTTGATGTAAAGATTCAGTAGCTTCATCTGCAGATGGAAGCCAGACACAGGTCACTGCAACAAGCCGCCCTGAGCGACGAAAAGACACTCCTAAAAAATCACACACACACACACACACACACACACACGAGCGCTCTGAAAGATTTAGGCAGGGGATGGGGGTGTTGTTGGCAATTAACAATTAGGAAAAAAATTTGTTCAATTTGTTCATGACTGCTTTATGTCTTTTCAAAAAGGTTGTAATAACAACATATAAAACGTGAAAGTAATATAAAGGAATTCATCATTAAAATAATAGGGACAAACATTTGAGCACGATGTGCTACACAACGTGTTAATGGTTTTGCACTCTCTGCTATGTCACTCCTAATGTCACAGGGTGGGTACCGAGCAGGCCAGGGCAGGAGTCCAGCTCCCAACATTTTAGCCCACAATGCCGCTGACACTCTGACAAAAATGCTTTGATTTCCCTGTGTCACTGTGCACTGTTTACCTACAAGATATTTTACTTTTCTCATCTTATACTTTTTTTTTTTTTTTTTTGGACAGGCAGAGTAGACAGTGAGAGAGAGAGACAGAGAGAAAGGTCTTCCTTTTCTGTTGGTTCACACCCCAATGGCTACTGTGGCTGGCGCACTGCGCTGATCCGAAGGCAGGAGCCAGGTGCTTCTCCTGGTCTCCCATGCGGGTGCAGGGCCCAAGTACTTGGGCCATCTTCCAATGCCTTTCTGGGCCACAGCAGAGAGCTGGCCTGGAAGACGGGCAACCGGGACAGAATCTGGCGCCCTGACTGGGACTAGAACCCGGTGTGCCTGTGCCGCAGGCGGAGATTAGCCTATTGAGCTGAGGCGCCGGCCATCTTATACTATTTTAAAACATTTTTTTCTACCTACCTACTGCCTCCATATGTAACAGTATGACTGGCTATCCAGTATTCTGACCATTTAAATTAAGGTTTGCCTTTTTGAGGTTAACTCTTTTGTTGATAGGCAGATTTGTTTGTTTGTTTGTTTGACAGGCAGAGTGGACAGTGAGAGAGAGAGACAGAGAGAAAGGTCTTCCTTTGCTGTTGGTTCACCCTCCAATGGCCGCTGCGGCCGGCGCACTGCGCTGATCCAATGGCAGGAGCCAGGTGCTTCTCCTGGTCTCCCATGGGGTGCAGGGCCCAAGCACTTGGGCCATCTTCCACTGCACTCTGGGCCACAGCAGAGAGCTGGCCTGGAAGAGGGGCAACCGGGACAGAATCCGGCACCCCGACCGGGACTAGAACCCGGTGTGCCGGCGCCGCAAGGCGGAGGATTAGCTTAGTGAGCCGTGGCACCGGCCGATAGGCAGTTTTTAACCTGGTGTCAATGGGATTCAGGGGACCACTCTACCTTCTGCAACCACAGGTGAAGTGTTCTGTATATATTTTGGGGTGAGATTTTACCTAAATCTGAAGGTGAGGATACTTAATAGAAGATGTGTAGCTGAGCTCATTTTCATTTGTATGCATTTTATTCTGCCTTTTTGCTATTTTAAAAATAATTTGAATGCAGTAATGACAATCACAGAATTTTAGGACACTCTTTGAATGAAAGTGAGTTCCTCTGCTAACTGGTTCAAAGGCTGTCACTGAACAAGCATAGTTTATCTGCATTTCCGGAACAAATTACCAAGTGCTGGTAGTACCAATGAAACGAGGAGAACAATAATTTATTTTTTTAAGTTAAAATTTTAAAAAGATTTCATTTCATTTGAGAGAGAGAGGGAGGGAAGGAGGAAGGGAGAGACAGAGAGAGATGTATTGATCCTCCACCATCTGGTTCACTCCCCGATGCACACAACCCTATCAGGGCTGGGCCAGGTGAAGCAAGGAGCTTGGAATCCACCTGGGTCTCCCTGTGGAACCCAAGCACTTGAGCACCATCTGCGGCCTCCAGCAGGA